GGTTTGGTTTTTTTTCAATGAATACATCTCTGTGGCTATTCGGGGGAGGACTCCAGTTTGCATCACTAAGCAATGCTCATGCCAAATTTTTCTCAACCGAGATATTGGGGAACAAGTGCCCTTATGAGGGAAGGGGCAACATATTTAATATGAAAGTTTCTCCTACAAAATTTGGAACCAGAGAGATTATATAGCAGGTAGGGCTCTTGCCTTTCAACAAGAATTCAATCTCCAGCACCCTATATAGTCCTCCAAGGCCCTTCTAGGAGTTATCTCTGAGTAAAATGTCAGGAGTAGGTCCTGAGCAACAGTGGGTATGACAAAAACAAAAACAAAAAAAGAAAAAGAAAGCTCTCTTACAAAGCCTGATCACATAGCTATAGGGACTTAGAGAAAATGAGTTCTATAAAATGACGTCCTAGCTATCATGTTAAGTGAAATGAGTCAGAAAGAGAGGAACAGACATAGAATCACTGCACTCATTTGTGGAATATGAAGTAACATAATGGGAGACTAACACCCAAGGATAGTTGAGATGAGGACCAGAAGGATTCCTCCATGACTTGGAAGCCAGCCCCATATGCTGAGAGAAAAGGCAGCTGAGATAGAGAAGGGACCATGAAGCAAAGGATGCTTGGAGGGATTGCTCAAGATGGGAGCTTTGTGCTGAAAGTAGCTATGGACAGAACAAACATGATGACCACCTGTGTTGCAAACCATAACACCCCAAACCATAACACCCCATAGAGAGAGTAAAGGGGACTGTGCCTGCCACAGAGGCGGGGGTGGGGATGAGAGGGATGGGATGGGGGTGGTGGGAGGGATACTGGAAACATTGGTGGTGGATAGCAGATAATGGGCACTGGTGGAGGGACGGGTACTCGATCATTGTATGACTGAAGCATAATCACGAAAGTGTGTAAGTCTGTAATCTCACAAGTGTTTCATTAAAAATTTTTTAAAAATTAAAAAATAAAATAACCTCCTAAATGATATGCTTTAACCCCACATCAAAAAGATACTTTTCCCTATGGAGGTAATGCCCATCTTTTACCCACCTTTTAGAACCCATAAACTCTAGGTAAGCCCCTTACATAGAAAAGGTGTTCAATGACTAGTTGTGGATCACATGTCCTATCAAATCCTCACTTTCATTCTTTAGCACAGAAAGCACAGGACCCTTATTTTGAACGGAAAGTCCCTGGTTTGGTCATCTATCCTTCCCAGATGCTGTTTCTCTGGTTGGTTTATTTGGCAAATTGCCAACAACCATTCAATAACCCTCCATTGAGAAATGACTAAATACAAAGTCAGGTAGACGCTTAGAGAGTCTAAGGACATTTCCAATGCTCGCAGATGATGCGTGGGGTCAAGGATGGTGGGCAGGTGGGCCCCTCTCCACCAGGATCTGGTCAGCTTCCTTATTTTCTAAGACATAGGCTTTCTTGCATAAACTTGGGAGAGAAAAGGGGTTTCTGAAGGTCTTTGGAACTCAAATGTAGGCATGTTCTCTCTTCTGGTGCTAAGGCCCACTCTGTTTCTCCTTTCTCAAAGACAACTTCATGGCTTTTTCCTAACTTAGACACCATATAACTTCACAACTCTCTAGCTTATGACCTACTGAGATATATTAGCCTGGAGAATCTAGTTAGGCTTTAATAACAACAAACTCACAGGTTTCAGTGACAAAAATAGCCAAAGCTCCCTATCTAGTGAGAGTTAGTTGCAAGAAAAAGAGGGCTCTGCTCTATTGTCATTTGGGACCCAGAGCAGCCACAACCTTAGAAAATGATGTGACAAAGTTTTGGCTCACTTTTCAAGTACCCACCATCAGTCACTTATGCTTGATCCTTGACCAAAAAGTCAAATATCCACATCTAACTTAATGAGGTGGCATTATACATTCCTACCAGGCCCTGTTGGGAGAAAGAAGCCCAAGTTCATGTGAATCACCAATATGACCTTCACCTAACACATCTCTAGCCCGAGATTGCAAAGGCTTCTTGTTTTAGCATCCATAGCTAAGGATTCATATTTTCCACATCCTCTAGTACAAACTGCAGTGAGAGAGAAGCTGAGTGTCTCAGTCTCAGTTTGCCTGACACACCATAACCTGAAGTCCTGGTTCGCCTGTGAACTTGTCCTTGAGACATGCCATTTGGCTGGACAATAGGAATGTACACCTTAGCCTGAGATCTTCCAGTCCACCCCTCTCCTCTTGAGCCAGGACTAGGAGGCCTCTCTAAAAGAGTACATCTGAAACATTCATTTGGGGCCAAGACATGAAAGTCGTGGTTTTACTTGCTTGTCCTACCCCTAAAGGACAGAAGAGTCATGAGTGGTGCAGTTAGTGAGTTAGTGATGCTGGGCGGGGTTGGGCTGGCTCTAGAGGAATTTGTAGGGCAGAATCTCAGAGAAAAATGATGGAAATGATTGAATTCCAGGAACCTCCCAAGTTGGCGCATGAGTTGGTGGCCAGTATGTGGTACCAAGGAACTCTGAACATTTCCTGCTTCATTTCACACTCAGACATTGGAGGCATCAATCTGAGAGGGCTAAGGAGAAGACACGGAAAAGTGTTTAACCTGACACAGTGTGACCTGAATGTCAGGAGCTGCACCTGAGTCCCTTTGCCACATTATACTGCAGCTACCTTCCTGGTCTGCTGTCCCAGTCGGTGCCGTAATAAACTACATAAGCGCTCTTGAGCACATTGTGCACTGCCAAATCACCATTTTCAACATTTCTCTGTGCTGGCTGGTTCTAGTTCTACCTTTTCTGAATTCTTAGGTTCACGCTCGTCCCTCAGCAGTGTGAATACACATCACCCACTTGGGGGTTCAGAGCCTAGTCCCTACCCGGGGACAGAAGTCACTCCCCAGAGGGGTGTTGGGAATCTTCTGTTGCACCGGTTCATCAAAGGAATCTGTGAGGAGTTCCTCTGTGCACTTAAGCATCACAGGGAAACATCAGAAGCTAAAAGTTCTTTTCGGTGTCCCTTGAGTTTAGTTGCCTCATTATAAAGATGAGAAAACTGAGTCTGGAGAGAAGCAACGACTTACCCACTGTCCTCCCAACAGCCAAGACTGAGTGAGCAGTTTGCTACGTGCCAGATAAAATGCTTTTCATTCTTTATCTCATTTTAGCTTTGCAGTTACCCTAAAAGGGAAAGCCAAAGCCTAATATGGTCAGTGCAAGGCTAAAGCCACAATGGAAGGGGGTCGCCAGGCCAGGTTTAGATCCAGGGTCTATCCCTGTGTTTCACTTGTTGCCCCTGAGCTGTGCTCCAAACCTGGGAGTTGACTCCACAGGATCCAGATATGTGTGTCTTGTCTATGACCACGAACTTGGTCAGTCCTCCTGGGGCTGGGCAGGCTTGGGCTCAGCCAAGGTTGCTGGTGACTGTGCCATGCAGCCCCTCACACACATACCTAGCGTTCAGGGTGGTTGTTCTTTCCTGGGCAGTTGGGTTAATGTAAGAAACTGGATAAAATCCTGGAGAGAAACTTGATCATTCTCTGAAGGACTTACAAGTTGCTAGGCCCACCTGATCTGCTTCACTGCCGGCTGGGGAATATTCAGTATCCATGTAGTACAGGGTGTGTGTGATTCTTTGGGGACTCTGAACATGCCCCTAACCAACTCTGCCCCAGCCTGGGGCCAACATGACTGAGAGCCAAACTCCTCCTTCTCCTATTTCCAAAAGCTCTGAGAAGGGCTTAACAGATTCTTCCTGGTTTGGGGTAGTTTAGAGCTGGTCCTGTTGCCTCTTCGGAGTTAGGGTACAGACTCATTGACTCATTGATTTACCTGGGATAACCTTTATTCCATGTTTTGGTCCCCTGTACCTGCATACCTGCCACAGAAAGAGGCTGACTGCCTAAAATCAGTGCAAGAAAAACAGCCGAGCAGGCCGAGGCCGACAAAATTACCCCTCTCCCCTTCACTTTTGGGAATTTAAAGATGATGCAGAAACTGTAGCAAAAGTCTAAACTACTTCTGAAGGTGGTAGCTAAGGTCAATGACTTCTCCCTTTAATTTTCATAAGGGATGGGGGTGGGGCTCGCCAGTGGTTCCAGGAACGCCATAGTTGATCTGGAGGCCGTGCCTGGTTTGTTCAACAGTCCTTGGTACCAACTCCCCAAATGTGCTCTCCTTTAAACTCCCACCCATCACATCCCCATCCCGACATACGAACACAATCCGCCCTTTGCAGAGCCCTGAGTCCCATACCTTAAATGTTTCAGTGAGTGGCCTCTGATGGGTGGAAGGGCACAGGGGACACAGCTGCCAGGCCTCGGACTGGGGAGCTGGAACGGTGTCCAAGCAGCCCCAGGCCTTGCTACCCGCTCTCCCTTGCTTTCCTTTTTTCTGCTCTAGCATAGTTTCCAGAACAGGAGTGGGCCCACCCTGGGTGACGCCACAAGTAGGCTACCAAGACCAGGGACCGGGGAGAGATGTGGGATTGCCAGGCCAGGGACCCCGGCCTTGAGTGGGCTGATCTTAAGTGCGCCCCTACCTTGGGGCTCAATTGGTAAGGGACAAGTTGCGCCCACTAACTGCCCTGCAACCTCTGGTCCCAGCAGCGCCCCAAGGGCAGATGGGGGGCGCGGGCGGCCGAGGCTCTGGCGGCCGGGGCGGTCGGAGGGGAGCGGTCCAGAGATGCGAGGGGAGAGCAGGGGCTGGGTGGAGGGGGCGCGGGGCTGGGGGCACAAAGACCTGGGTGCGGAGACCGCGGCGCTAAGACAGAGCGCGGGGCTGAGTGCGAGGGGCCCAGGCTGCAGAGGCGCGGGCCAGCGCAGAGGTGCGGACGCCCTTCCCGGGCGCGCCGTGGCCGGCGCGGGCCATATATAGTCATATCGCGCGGCCGGGGAGGCGGGCGCGGCAGCAAATGGGGGCGGGGGGCGGGGCCGGAGGAAGCGGCTTTTCCAAAAAAGCATTGGCTGCGCGGAGGAATGCGCGCGCCCCCCTCGGGAAAGTACTTATCTGCGCGCCGCGCCGCCCGGCGCTCGCACTCCGGCCCCGCCGCCCCGCCGCGCTCACCCTCTGTGCCCTCTCCGCGCCCGCCCCGGGCCCAGCCGCCGCCGCAGCCATGGACGCCATCAAGAAGAAGATGCAGATGCTGAAGCTCGACAAGGAGAACGCCTTGGACCGAGCCGAGCAGGCCGAGGCCGACAAAAAGGCGGCCGAGGACCGAAGCAAACAGGTCTGCGCCCTCCCCGGCCCTGCCCCAAGAGATTTTTTTCCCCAGGCCCTCCCGAAATCTGGGACACACACACACACACACACACACACACACACACACACACACACACACGACCCACTTGCGAGGCGCACACCCACACGTGCACGCGGAGATGCACGAACACGCAGGCAGACACAGACGCGCGCGCGCTCCGTCCGCACCCACGGGCCGCCGAGTCTAGGAAGCGTCGGAGCGGCCGGCCCGAGACTTGCTCCTAACTTTTTTTTTTTTGCCCGAGTCTCACTAAGGAGTTCAGTCCCCGACCCGAGACGAGCGCTTCCCGGGATCGATAGGGAACGGCGTGGGGGTCCCCGCGGGGAGCGGCGTGGCGCGGCGGGGCCGGGGAGGAGGTTTGCGGGGAGCCCGCCCCAGAAAGCGCTGCCAGTTCTTTCGGACTCTGTGCACAGGGGGACCCCGTGGGGCGCGGGGCGTGCGAGCCGGGCACAGAGTCTGCTGCGGGCCCCTAGGGCCGAGGCGAGCGGAGCGCGTCCCTCAGCCCCCACGCCGGGGAGATGGGGTGCGGGGCGGGAGACGCGGTGGCTTCAGCGCCCGGGACGAGGGACCCCGCCAACCCGCGCCCGTGTCGTGTGTGTGTGTGTCTGACCCCCGGTGCGCGCCGCCCCGCGCGCGCCGCAGCTGGAAGATGACATCGTGGCCAAGGAGAAGCTGCTGCGGGCGTCGGAAGATGAGCGGGACCGGGTGCTGGAGGAGCTGCACCGGGCCGAGGACAGCCTCCTGGCCGCCGATGAGACCGCCGCCAAGGTACCACCGGCGGCCGGCGCACGAGTGCTAATCTGTCTCTCTTCTCTCCCTCCCTGTCCTTCCCTCTCTCCCTCTCTCCTCTGTCCCTGTCCTTCTGACTCTGCGCACCCCACACACCCCGCTGCGGGGTCACGCTGCCTGCCGCACCCCTTCCCCCGTCCCCCACCACGGCCAACTCCCAGCTGGAAGACGAGCTGGTGTCGCTGCAAAAGAAACTCAAGGGCACTGAAGATGAGCTGGACAAATACTCTGAGGCTCTCAAAGATGCCCAGGAGAAGCTGGAGCTGGCGGAGAAAAAGGCGACCGACGTAAGTGAGCACACACCGTCCCCTTAGCGTGCAGAGCGGGGTCACTGCCTTCTGGCACACGGCCTCCTGCCAAGGCCCCCAGCACTGCTGCACCGCTGCCGCGCACGTTCATTTATGTTTCATCCCCTCTGCTCTGTTCTTCTCTTCCTTTCTCCACACCCCTGAGGGTGGAGTGGGTCGGGCCACAAGTTGGGAGAACAGAGTAGTGGAAACGGGACTCTGGGACCGGTCCCCCGACTCTCCCCTCTCTGCCCTGGTCCACCGCAGGCAAGTGGCAGGTATGGTTTCCCTCTAGCCTGGCTTCTCAGTGGAAGGAATCTTCAGGAACTGTTTTGACTTGGAAAGCGGAGTTGGTGCTGGGGTGCTAGAGCCTTGAAGCCCCCTTCCCCGCAGGGAGATCTTAACAACAGCCCTGAAGTTGGGTCTGAAGATGACCCTGGCCTGGTTCTGTGGTGGGGCACAGATCCAGAGAAGGCGCGGGTGTTATATATAGCTCAGGGCTTTATAAGGTAGTCCAAGCTCAGCCCCAGCTCCTCCTGCTCACCCCGCCCCCATCTGTCAGCCCCTGACAGACACTGCCGAGTTTCTGGGGTGAGCCACTTGCCAGAAACTCAGAAACGCTCCCAGCACTTTGTCTGTTGCCTCAAGTCAAGCCAGGCATTCGATTTTCCAAAGAACCAACTTCTTTTCACACCAAGGAATTCTGTTCTAGAAGCTAATGAAGCCTAGAGGCCCCAATTAGGGAGAAATTCCTCAGGAACTTGGTAACAATCCAAGAATGTATGAGCATGGGGAATGTTATGTCCACAAGTTAAAACCACCAAGCGCAAACAGGAATTTTTTTCTTAGGGTAAAATGTCCATTGCCGAGGGATCCTTGTTCTTAAAAATGGGTACAGGCATGTTTATGGCAGCAGAGACTTGGGAGTCTCAAAATCTGCTTCAGAAATTAGAAACCCAGACATAGGATGTTGAGACTCTTGGGGAAAAAAAGTTTTATGTGAAAATCAAGATTCCCAGAAAAGGGTTTCAGAGAACCACTGATTTAGTTAAAACACTTAGGTTATGAACTACCCCGCTTCAGAAAAAGTCCAGAAATAACATAGAACTCTGGGCCTGTTTTGTATTATGTAGATCAGATATCTGCCCCATATATGGCTAACCGGAGGATGTCTTTCACCCCTGAATTCTCCAACAGGGCACTTTTAGTTAGTCTTTTCAAAAGAGCCGCTGATAGATCAAGGGGAGATAGTCCTTATAAGGAAAAGAATGTAGAGAATTTGAAAATAGCCCAGTAAGACTAAAGGCAAGAGAAAATTGCTACTACAATTTTAGGGGGGGGGGGGGGTGATAGAATTATTGTAACTATGTAGTGCTATCCTGTCTTTATTGAAAAGTCTTGTTTGAGGGAGTGTTGGAATGAGGTGGGGCAGGCAGGGAAAAGAGGATATTTAAAAACAGCAGAAGGGGAGGGGACTTTGTGAAACTGTTTACGTTCTTTTTTTCCCCAACTAAAAAACCCAACTCTAAATATATTTTTCTTTATTGGTGGGGATGGGAAGTATGGGGAAAAGCTTCCATCATCTTCCCCTTTAAGACACAGTAAATTGTTGGGGGTTTATGGGAATGCTGAAGAAGTGTATGAAGAAATGCTATATTTAGAGGGACTCCTACCTAGTAAAAATAGTCTAGACTTGAGGAGAAAGAAACAGCTGCCACTAGAGGAAGGGGGAGATGGAGGGAGGTGGAATACAGTTACGAGTTACTTATGTTAGGGATTAGTGTATATCAGTGGCGTAATCCACTGGTGTTGAATATTTTTTTCCATTTTCCTGCTACTAGCAATGTTTCTCAGCTGATTTTCCAACATACTTTACAAATACTAATCCCAAAGTGGGTTCTTCCTGACTTAAAAGGTGTTCACAGATGAGGAAGCATCCTGGTGGTTTTGTTTGGAAGTTTTTTTTTGTTATTTCAGGCTCAAGGGGTCCAAGAACTCAGCTTTCTCTGTCCTGGCCCTGCTATAGCTAATGTTTCCAAGAGGGTCATCTCTGGACCTCCTAGGCCTGCTTTTCAGACAGCTGCGTGGTCCAAGGTGTTCTCCTTGGATTTAATAGTGACCTCAGCTCTCTATTAAACCAAACCACAAGAGCACTTGAAGAAGCTCCTGGGTTCGATCTCTCAGGCCTCCCATATGGTCTCTGGAGCTTTGCCAGGAGTAATTCCTGAGTGCAGAGCCTTGAGCATTGCACAAAGGATGGTCCCAAAAGCAGATTTTAAAAAAAAGCTTCTGAATGGGCCTGCACTCCTGAAAAGAAAATCAGAAGCCAGAGAGTTGAGTTCAGAACTTGGCAGTTTTTTGAACGGACAATTCCAATGTACAAGCAAAACTGAGATCAGTTGTCCTGCTGTAATGATGTCAGCAGGTAAATACACTCACCTGAAAGCACTTTCCCAGGTGTCTGATCTGAACTCCCTGGAGGACTCAGTGGGAAGCAAAGCAAGAGGCTCCACCTGCAGGAGTTGAGGGCACAGTCAGGGCACAGGAGAGCCTGCACCCCAATGCCACAAACCAGGACTATGAGTTAGAAAAGTGGATTGGTGTTGTTAGGCCTGGGGCAGGGAAGGGGGGTGGAAGGGAGGGTGTATTTTTCTTCGTTATTCCCATGCTTAGGCCTCCTCTGGGAGAGGCAAGGGAAGAAAGTGGGGGGAAAAAACCCATGACCCCACCGGCTGTTTTCAGGGCTCATTTGTGCCTCTCTTGGTGCGGGTTCAGAGGCAGTCCAGGTTCTGTGGTTCTGGTGGGGCAGATTGCCTGGAACCAGGACAGATGGTAGCTGGAAAGGCATGGAAGGCCAAGACCTGGGCAGGCCCTCCTGACCCTGCCAATGCCGCCTGCCTGCTCATGCATCTCTATGTCCATAATAGTCGACAGCTCTAAGCGGAAGAGACTGGGAGCAGGGCCACGCTGGAGTGCGCAGCGCACCCCTAGGAGCGAGGAGCAAACGCAGGGCTCCAGCGTGCAAAGCCTGCGCCGTGGCCCGATGATGAAGCCCAGTTCTCCAGTAGCAGCCTGGCCAAGTTATTCGCTTAGCGTCACATTGTCCCGTGCAGGTCGCTGTGCATCCGTGGTTTGGGGACGCAGAGTGCAGCTCTTTTTTTTTTTCTTTCTTTTCTTTTTGGGTCACAGCCAGCGATGCTCAGGGGTTACTCCTGGCTCTGCACTCAGGAATTAATCCTGGGGACCCTATGGGATGCAGGGGATCGAACCCAGGTTGGCCGCGTGCAAGGCAAACGCCCAGCCCGCTGTGCTATCGCTCCAGCCCTTGAGTGCAGCTCTTGTGGCGAGGATCCTGAATTGCGCGGGTTTTGACAGCTAGGGGCCACCGCGTGGGGCCTTCCTGTCCGGCTCCGTCTGGGCCGAGGCGCGGGACCCGGTGGCAGCCCCTCCGCGGCCGACAGGCGGCGCCGTGGCCGCGAGCAGCGCCCTGCCAGCCGGGTCCCCGCGGCGGCGGCGAAGGAGCATGCGCGGCGCGGCGCCGCGCCCCGCCCCGGCCCGCCCGGCGCCGCCCGGGGGCCGCCTCTGCCTTCGGTCGCTCTCGGGCGGCGGCAGCTGCGGCGTCCCGCGCGATGGCGGGGAGCAGCTCGCTGGAGGCGGTGCGGAGGAAGATCCGCAGCCTGCAGGAGCAGGCGGACTCGGCGGAGGAGCTCGCGGGCGGCCTGCAGCGCGAGCTGGACCTGGAGAGGAAGCTGCGGGAGACCGTAAGCGCTCTGGCGCCGGGCCGCACCTAGCGCACCTGGGCGACGGGGAAGCCCGAGAGCTGGGGGGGAGGGGTGCGGAGAAGGTTCTGGAAGCCGCGGGCCCCGCGGGGGCTCCGATCCGGGCCGTCCCTTTTCCCTCTCGCGGAGTCCGTGCTGCGTGGACGGACCCCGCCGGCCGCGTCTCCAGCTCGGGGGCCTCGGGGGTCCCGGCCTGCCCCGCGGGGCGCGCCTTGCAGGGAGCCGCGTCTTTGTTACCGGGCCCGGGGGAGGGAGGTCGGGTCCCCCTCGCCGCACGGAAGGCGCTCGCTGCTGCTTCCCCTGCAGGTCGAGGGTGATGGGGGCTTGGGGCAGAGCGACGCCAGGGGGCTTCCTGGCAGGTGAACGCCAAGTGCCTGCAAAATGTCTAGTGCCGATGGAGCTGGACGAATGCGCTTTGCTTCGGGTCGGTAGTGGCTGCAGAAAAGCACAAGGACCCGTTTTGCACAAGACAGAAGCAAACGGGGCTTCCTTTGATTTTTAATACCGAGTGCTGGGGCTGGGCCACACCCCAGGGTGCTCAGGGATCCCTCGTGGCGGCGCTCAGCGCTCCTCCGTGGTGAGGGGGATGGAACCTTGATCAGCCACATGGTAGGCACGCACCTTACCCATTACCCGTTGCACTCTCTCCAGCCTCCTAAAAGGACCTAGATCTCGGACATTTCATGTAAAATTAAAACAGAAGCCAGTAAATCCGTAGCCCCAACCCTCATTTTCTTTAGAGCCAAGTCAGCAAAAGTTCCTTGATGTCACTGGATTTGCGAGGGTGATAGGTGAGTTCTGCCCCCTTTTCTGCCCTTTGTGTACCATGAGAGGGCATCGGATATAGAGACGCTCAGAGGTCTGGACCCAGAATGTCAGGACTCACATCCGGGCGTCCAGTACTGATCAGTGGAACCAGGAGCTCTGACTGCAGGAGGCTGCTGATCTTGCACCTCCCTTAGGCTAGGGGGAGCAGAGTTAGTGAGTGAAAGGGAATTACATCCGGTTTCTGAGTGTTGGTGGAGTTAAAACCATATTGTGCACCTTCAATTCAGCCCCCTGGGAAAAGGAGCTCCCTTTGCTTCCGTCTCCAACACTTTGTTTAAATGCATCTAAATCACGATTGTTTTCTATGGGGGACTTGAGGGAGGGTGTGGGCAGGCTGGAAGGAATGTTGGGTGGGTTGAAGTGGTATTAGTAGTTGGCTGGCAGTCAGGACAA